AACGTGTTTCAGGCATTTATGTTCTTGAAACCGAAAAAGCCTGGTGCACACAAGCAGTTATAAGGAAGTGGGTCGATTTAATGCTGCCACTTATTTTGCGAGGTGGTCAAAGAGGTCTGCTAGTCTGGGATTCAGCCAGCACTCACCGTGCTAAAGACATGAAGAACTTCCTTGCAGAGAGAAGAATTGATCAAATAATGATTCCTGCAGGAATGACAGCCTATCTCCAGACTCTTGATATTGCAATAAACAAGCCATTCAAGGACCACTTGCATATGGAGATCAATGATTTCATTGAAAATAGAATGGAGAGAAATCAGCGTGGAAACTTTGTGAAGCCTGGCCTGCAAGAGGTCGTGACTTGGGTGAAAAATTAATGGGCTAAAATCTCTGACACCTGTGTTGCCAATGCACTACAAGCAGGCTACCTGGACAAGAAGTGTTCATTTAAAGAGAGCTCTATTGCCAGACATGAAAGATTGGGGTCAATAGTTCTAAAGGAATTGGAGTCGCAAGAAAATCAAGCGAGAATTCGGGATTTGGAGAGTTATGACGATGTTCCAGAAGAAGATGACATGACTGTATTTGAATAAATGTACGGTATATTTTTGTACATGAATACATGTAGACTGTTGTACATGAATAAATGTTGATTGTTGTAAATGAAAAACTTTGGATTGTTGTACATGAAAAACTTTGAATTGTTGTACATTTTGTTGCACATTAAAAAAAATAAGACATCCCCTGAAAATAAGACCTAGTGTGTTTTTTTGGGGGGAAAAAAATATAAGACAGTGTCTTATTTTCGGGGAAACACGGTATGCGTTGCTTTATGATGTTTAGCTTCTCTCAGAGAAACTGTGACGATCCTTTGGCAATGGCTTGGTGAATGCGTCCGCAGTCATTTCTTCTTCTGCCACCTTTCTCCATTGATTGGCTTTACATTTTGGTAATTTCTCTATGTCCTCCCATGATGTTGGTTGGAGTATGCTATGTGGCTTAGCAGTATATGACAGCTTGCAGGGTGGTATTCCCTTTGTTGCCCTGGTGGATCTTCTAATTTCATGATGTTCAGCAGAATTAAGTAATGGAATTTGACTTATCCATTGTGCGTTCCAGCGTCTTGTTCTGACTCCTGTGCAGCTTAACTTTGCTCAGCGTTCTTTGCTGGTTTACTGGCCAAATTCACTACACAACTTCCTGGGATCACTGTTTTTGGTGATGGGTTCTCATTGAAATAAACGCTGCAACTTATTGTTACCTTGTTCACTATAGCCCACCAAAATACCTTCAATGGCTAAATTTTTTCAATTTGGATCGCTTCTCATTTGAAATATAGGCATAAGCTTTACATCCAAACACTCTGATGTGCCCCAGGCTAGGCTTCAATCTATGCCACATTTAAAATGGGGTGCTTTTAACGGCTTTTGATGGTAGTCTGTTCTGTAGGTATGTTGCAGTCATGACTGCTTCTCCCCAGTGCTTCTTAGGTAGGTTGGCGTCTGTCAGCATGCAACTGGCCATTGTGTGATGTAGTTCAAGAATCCTTTACCCTTACCTTCTGCAGTACATTTCCCATTTGCTAAGAAGACTTTGACCTTTGCACTAAAATCAATTTCTGTGAAGAAGGTCCCATCACTGGTCATGTGACTTATTGTGCCTGAGTGCCCTTATCTGGGATTAGGCTCGGAGTCCAGTAGCTGAAACAGTAGGCAAATTAGTGGTGAAACAGGCCCCGTTTGGTACACAAGCACACAGTAGTAGTATAGGAGCAGGCAGAAACGTAGTCAGAGATCAAGCCGAGGTCAGCAGCCAAAGGTATCAGGTATGAAGTGGAAGACGATGAGAGTAGTTGGTGAATCAGCAGTCAAAGGTCGGTACATGGGTAGCAGTGTGAGCATCACTGTATTGTATCACAGAAGGAGCAGGAAGCAAGATATTGGCAGGAGCACAAAATTCTGGCAAAGAGGAAGTGTAGAGGCATGGCTTAAAAAGGAAGTTCAAGGGAGGAGCAAGGAGTTCAGAGTTTAGCAGAAACTAGGTTTAACTGAGGATTACATAGGAGATCAGGCAAGGAGCTATCCAAGGTTCTAAGGTGTCTCAGCAGGTAGAACCACTGCCAGATACAGCAGAGGCCCTGGGTTCAGATCTGATTCCTGACACTGAGTCAATACACCATCTGCATGGTTTACTACTGTTCTGAGTCACTTTAAAGGTAGCGCTCCATGATGTACCTGCAGTTTCCTTTGTGACTGCTTTAGCTCTTTCTCTTGTAGGTGCCTCTCGCTTTTGCTGCTCGGCTTTCCAGATTCAACAGTCCTTTTTCAGGTGACCAGTCTTTTTACAGTGAAAGCATGCCCTGCTTTCTTTGTTTTGCTTTGCGCTTTCATGCACCTTTCTCGTTTATTTAATTGAGCATATTTTCTTTCCTTCTGTCATATTCATTGGTTAATTTTCCTTTGGTGTATTCTAGTGTTAGTTTCAGCTCAGGCCTGGTTTCTAGAGCGTTAATAAGAGTACTGTATGACTCTGTGGGTATGTTTAATTTCCTCTCCACTTGCACGTAGCTGTTCTACGATTTCCAGCATGACATTCACATGTTCACACATTTCCTGGTCTATTTCTAGCCTCATCTTATATAGCTTGCATAGCTCAAGCAGTTTTTGTAATGCAGTCCACATACCTTTTAGGTGTATTTTCTTTTCTTATGTAGATGAACTGGTCGTCTTCCACTAGCAGATTTATAATTGCTTTTGCTTGCCTGTTCTTCTTGTTCCATTCCTCTGTAGGTCCATTAGTGGGTCTGTCTGTACTCAAGTCATCTTTGTTTAGAAGCATTTGAAGCTTGAATTTCCATAGCTGGTAGTTGCTATTGTTGAGCATTGCGATTACAGACTTCATATCTGAACAGCTTGCCATCTTTCAGTAGCTTGGCTCTTGTTGACTTGCAGTATTCTGTTTGGTGCCTGGGCCCATAACCTGTTTGTTATGTGTTTGGATGAAGCACTGAGATCTTGAGGAATGCTGAATTAAGTTTTACTTGATACAGCATTAAATAGCATACACAGAGAACTTCCTGTATATCATAGATAAACATGCAGATAGAAAACTAGCTATCTGCCATCTACAGCTCAAAAAACATAACAGTAGAATGTCAGTAATACAGGACGTTAGGAGCTTGCTCGATTTTTGGCAGGAATTTTCTGAACTTGCTGCATTTTTAAAACATATGGAAATGCGCTTGTAGATAAAAGTCAGACCACATCAGTCCATAATACAGTTACTGAGGAACTCTTACTGGTTCTCCTTCCTGTCAAGGCTCCAGGATTAGCCAGGTTCCCAAAGGCTGATATTATATGCATGAAACTTTTTGGAGACTGGCCAGGTTATCTAGAGTAGTTTTCCAATATCAGCTCTTTTTACCCCTTGAGAAACAGTTCAAAACAGCTCCTTAGAAAGTCCATAATGGACAACCCTTAGCGCAAGGCTACACTTTGAAAGAACCCATCTTCTAACAAAAAGGCAGTAGGGTACCATCTCTCATACTTTTTTTATTTGCATTCACAGCTAATCTTTCATGACGAGATTTCAAAATTTTACTCCGTTCTTTTCAGTCCAAGCACTACTGATACACAAAGTGCACTAATACAAATACAATCACCTTAAATATAACAAAAAGGAAATCTATCTAGGAGGTGTGAAATACAATCAAAGGAGTAGGTAGTGATCAGCTAATGTACAAAAGCATTCAACTTAAATTTTTTTAATTAAAACAATTCCATAAGCTCAGATTTTTTATTGCATTAAATCGGGGACTCAATTTAGGCCCCTCTAGAGGGTTACTAGGCAAGCTGTTGTCACCTGTCTTGAAGGCCCTGTTTTCCATGCTACTTTATTTATTTATTTTTTTTTGGCATTGCCTTTACATACACTTTTGAGGGTAACATGGGAAATACCCAAATCCTTTAAAGAAGAACCAGGGGAAATTATTATTAAACCCTGCAATGGGGCAACCCACGCACTGCAAGGGTTAAGTGCTTTCTTTGGTCTTTGGAGGAAAATACAAAAGTTATACTCACAGCCAGCTTGCTCTCAGACCATAACGTTCTTAGAGTCTTCACATTCTACATACAGTATATAGCATGTGAGGCTGCCAACGGGCATACCATCACTTCAGCAGACAAGCTGCCTCCATAGACCACAAAACACCTTATCAATGTTTTATGAATAATATTATATTATGGTTACAAAGTTACATGCTTACTTTTTGATCGTTTGTATATTTCAGAGCAGAAGCTTTCAGTGAGGAAAGAGGTGCACGGAAAGGAGTGAAGAAAGTTATGCTGGTTGTAACAGATGGTGAATCTCATGATGGTTATCGATTGCCTAGTGTCATTGATGAGTGTGAAAAGGATGGCATTGAAAGATATGGTGTTGCTGTAAGTATGTTTGTAAATGTCTAGGTATATATTTTAGCTATGTCACATATTGTTCTTTTCATATTAAAGGCTGCATGTAATGCTGCTAAGGTTATGATGTTGTGCCACAATAGAGGTAGGACCTGTGTCAACGGGCTTTGGGGTTGCATTGATGTAATCAGTTTGTGATGCTTCTGAGATCATTTTTAATTTATTGACAGGTACATTTGACTTGCGGTTGACCTCCTTTTGACCCACATTTGACCTGCTTCAAATGCATTTTGCAATCCTATTGGCTTGTATGGAAATACAAGAGTCATTTGAAGCTAATCGATTGACACAGGTCCTTAGAGTCCATGTTTTGTCTCAAACTCCTTTGACTGAATATTTACAGCTATGTCTTATAACCTGAACCAAATATTTAAAGTGAAATTTCAATTATTGAAAAGGGGTGATTGGTGTGATTATAACCACTGTAGCAGACTGTGCTACTATTTCTAAGACATTCCCTCCACATTAAAGTGTATCTAAATCCAGGAGCCATAATTTATTGCAGCTTATCAATCCTTATATGTGGTGACTGCATTAGGTCTCTTTTTTCATACTTTCTTTCCTTTATTTTCATAAATAAGCAAAAGTGGAAAAGTGCAACTCTAAATACTTCTTTGCGCATGTATGTATGAAGTATTTACAATATTCCTTGTGATTTTATTATCGTTTTAGATTCTCGGTTACTATAACAGAGGAAATATAAGTACAGAGAAATTGATCAATGAGATTATTTCCATTGCAAGTGAACCAAAAGAGAAACATTTTTTTAACGTGTCGGATGAGTTGGCTCTTTCAACAATTGCGGAATCAATAGGAGAACGGATATTTGCTCTTGAAGGTACTGAAAACAAAAGTGTAAGATATGTGGGCTGCTATAGTTTACTATGACTGACAAGCATGTAAAACACACAAACAAATGTATTTTTCCACAAAGTAAAATTCAGAAAGCTCATCTACTGTAAGTGTTTTCAAACCAGGCTTTCTTAACCATTTTACCCCAGAGGAAACCTCTAAATAATTTTCAAGTCTCAGGAAACCCCTGTTAAAATTAATTTATTGGGGTCAGTTGCACAGATGCCTCTTACATCAATGGGCAGTGGGAAGAATTCCTCTCTTACAGTGGTGGTCAGAATGCTACCATTTCAAACAGCTAAAAAGATTTGCTAAGTGGCATCAAACCCAGAATTATGCCAGCACCATCAGATTGGAGCTCAGTCAATCACAGCTTAAGGAACCCCTAGAAACCTGTTGTGGTACCTTAGGTGCCCATGGAATCCCGGTTGAGAATGGCTGGTCCGAACAATCAATTCCAATGTTTAAACTACCTGTGAAGATGACTCTACTTTGTAAGCCTCCACTGCCCAAATTTCTAAATGAACCATTAAATCTTTATCTTCATCCCCAGCATTTAGCATTAAAGTGCATCTAAAGCCCAAACTACTTTTTTGGTATGGATAGATTGGGGAAGGCCAATTTAAGGCCACATTCATGCTGCATGTGTTAGCATCTGGTTTTCAACAGAAGGTAACCCCAAAAATGTATGGGTGTGAATGGGACCAGCTCACACCACTGTATTGCATTGCAATACAGTAGAGCAAAAAAAAAAGTAGAGCATGCTCTAGTAAGTGCTCTACTGTAACGCATCGCGTCAAAAATGGATATCACGCAACTGAAAAGAACACAAGTTAAAAAAAAAATACATAGAAGTTTGTCCACTCAGGTTAGGTTATTTAACTGCTTGAAGACCAGGTGTTTATATCCCCTTCCTGGCCAGGCCATTTTTCAGTGTTCAGCCCTGAGGTACTTTGACTGACATTTATTCCATCATGCAGCGCTGTACTGAAATCAATTTTATACCATTTTTTTGGGGATAGATAGAGCTTTATTTTGGTGGTATTTAATCACCACTGCGGAATGGGGCAAAAAAGAAAAACAAACACACCGGAACAGAAGAACGCAAAGAAATCAATGGTGAATGAAACTGCAGGTCAACGGACCTCCACTCACTTACATTTTTAGGACGATTTTGGTATGAACAAACTCTAAAACCTTCAGTCAAGTTTTTATTGATATCTTTCTCTACTGGGGAGAGACACACTCCAGAAAAAAAGAAAGCATCATAGCCATGCTAACCCCACCCTATCCATAGCTAAAATGAAGTTTTGGCTTTTGATATATGTTAACCATAAATGTAACCCTTAACCCTAAAAATGTGGCTAGCATCACCATAATTTAAATGGACCTGTGTCCTTTTAAAAAAAAAAAAAAAAACTTGACCAACTATGTAACTCTGACACTTAAAGTCACAAAGAATACAAAGCCTGCAATTATCTAGAAGTATGTGTTTGTAGATTGTCATTAGTAAACATTTCTAAAGGTGCGTTTGTTGTTGTTTTTTTTTTGAAGATATGGGTAAAGGTCCGCTTTAACCACTTCCAGCGGGTTCACGTAAATACATGTCATGCGCTGGAAGTGGTTATGCTGCTGCAGCCATGTTCTTGTTACCTTTTTAAACAGCAGATGATTGCTGTTTAAATACAAGCGATCCGGCATCTGTACAGGCGCTGGATCGCTTGTAGGGTGCAGCGCTGTGTGTGTGTCCTCCTATGCTACCGGGCTACCGTCGGCTTTCCAGGCTACGCTGTCACCCGTGCGGCACGGGACCGGCATAGTGGGTCTCCCCTGATGGATTGGACGGAGATCAGCAGGCTTCCAGCCGCTGATCTCTCCTCCTATCACTGGACCCGGACGTGATGTGCATTACATCACTTCGGGTGTCACTGTGCATACTCTCCAGCTCCTAGAGCCAGAAGAAGCTTCTTTGAGGTCCCTAGGTGACATTAGGGGTCTGAAAGACCCCTGATGTCTCCACAAAAAGGACCTGTCACATTATATTTGCTATTATGTGATAGCAATAAAGTTAAGTGTAAAACAAATGTGAAAGTCCCCACCCCCCACGTGCACGCACATACAATGCAAACACGTGTCAGATGCGCCTACGTGCAAAAACGAAAATTGCACCCCACATGTTTCATATCGACGTGAGGGCCAGAGCGAGAGCAATAATTCTGGGGCCATAAATCACAGTGAACACTAAACTGATGAGCAGTAAAAGCGTTTAAAACGTTGCCTTTGGAACATTTTGGTTATGGCAGTTTGTTTGCGGTTTCCACAGACGCACACAATTTTAAAGCTTGACATGTGTGGTATCTATTTACCTGGTGGCACCCCATCTTTAAAATTTTACCAAAAAAATTGGTATTATATTCTGTTTCTGTGCACACTAAATTTCATTTTAATGTATGTTATCCTAAAAATACTTGTTTGATAAACATTCGCGTAAATACCGTGCAACATAAAAAATAGCAACTAGCATCTTTTTATTTAACTCTGCTTTCAGAAAATAGAAAATATAGAAATTGTTTGGCGGCCTCTGCTTTCAGAAAATATACAATTGTTTGGCGGTATGTGTTCGCTCACTTCCCGATCTACTGAGCCGATCTGTGACAGTCTCATTGTCACAGGTCGGCTCAGATTATGAGGCTGAGTGAAAAGCACTCACCTCATAGTTCTCCTTTAAGGAAAAATTACCGAATTAAAAAAAAAAAACAGTTTTCCCTATAATAAATTATAAAACATTTATTACCCAATTTTTTTGTAAAATATAAAAGGCGGGGTCACGTCGGGTAAAAAGACAGCAAACATGTTAAGCCTTAAAATTGCGCCGCCAAAAAATTGCGCGTGTGTGCGAAACCTAAAAAAACTACAATATCCAAAATTTTTTAGTGTAAGCTCCTCTACAGAGACTGATGTTACTATGGGAGGACATTAGAGTGTAAGCTCCTCTGTGCAGAGACTAATGTGAATTACCTATTCCTTTAGGCTGTCCAAAACAAAAATATGTTGGCTTAAGGGCTCATTCTCACCATACAGTGCACATTACTGCTCATGCGCGCTAGTGTGCATCTGTGCATTGCTTACACATATTGCATTGATTGCTTTTTTTAATTCTTTATCAGTATAATTCTATACACTGCAGGCCACTGCTGTGTGTTACAGCATGCTGGAGCCTTCTTCGCTGTGCAAAAAAGAATGCAACATATCCAGTTTCTTTCAGCATACGCCAGTGTGGCATGTTGGCATGAGCTGAAGCCATAAGAATGAAGGAAATTGTCTTGTTCTTGCATTGGAGTGCATCGGGCAACTCTGTCCAACTCTGTCCAACATGGTCCAATGCTGCTTATGTGAACAAGCCCTTAGATGTACTTTGACAAATGTGTATACATGTAAGTTTTTAGTCCTCAGTATAATAAATAAATAATCTATATACAATGAGGGGGATTTATCAAAACTGGAGCAGACAAAACCTGGAGCAGTTGTGGATGGCAACCAATCAGCGTCTATCTCTCATTTTCAAATGTTAACTGAAGAAACTGAAGAGAAAAGCTGATTGGTTGCCCTAAGTATCTACTCCAGTTTCTGTCTGCTCCAGTTTTGATAAAGTCCCCCCATCACATATACATTTCATTAACAATTATGGTCATGCTGCCAAGTAAGTATTCCCAGAAGGTGTGGACAATGGTGATATATGGGCCCACTTTGGATTCCACCCAGCGCTCATTCTCCTCTGGAACCACCCTTGGACGTGACCTTTTTTTATAATTACATAGTAAAAAGGTCCTTGGTGTGTTTATATTATTACTATCCATTAATTAAAATGATATGTTTAGGATCCTTGCTTTCCCATTGTGAATCGGCATCCAGAGGATTTTCGTTAAGTGACACTTATTATATTTTGTTCTAACTAGGAAGCTGAATATTTCCAGAGCGAGTTACAACAAAAGCCAAGTGTTCAGAAACAGCGTACAACATGTTATTTTAAACAAAAGTCTGTGAAAGTATTTCCTGTGGTTACATCATAAGAAAAGGCCAGAATAGTGTTTAGGAGGAAGATAAAACAATGTTTTACTCTCTGTAGGTCTCTGGAGGTTTATGTCATTTTCATGTATAGGCTTGAGAAGGAAGAGACATGCTGAAGGTCTTGGGAAAGTGTTCCTGATGGCAAATAAATGTCAGGCGGGTGGATGACTTTACAAGTCGCACAGTTTTTATATTTCTGCTAGAAAGGAGCAAATATTCACCAAGAAACGCATATCCCAAAAGGATATAAAATAGTTCTAACAAACCCTTTCATTATCACAGATTGATTCCTAGATTCCTTGGTTAAATGTAGCAGCAGTGACACGGTATAGGATAATACTAGGATTCATTTTCATACTGAAAAATGATTTATATTTTTAAAGGATAATTAAAGCTTTTATCTGTACACTACTTTCATTTAAAAAACTCTTCTCAGTGTTATTATAGGCTGCAAATGTAATAAAAAGTAGAAGCATTTACTTTTTTTTTATCAATTGCACTTTTAATACTGTAATTATATCTGACAGTTAAAGTATTAAACAAATGGTTACAGTTACCTTCAGGCTGCAGTTGCATCTGCAGTGCTATGTATAGGCTGAATGTTTGTCATTGAAGCCTCCAGTCTCCCAGATCCCAGGATTATTCACATAAGGGTGAAGAGTTTGGAGAAGGCAGGAGAAGTGAACAATCACATGGTAATGTGTGTTAAGCTGTGGAATACAGTCTGCCGAGACAATGCTGGGGCACCTGCGTCCATACTGGAAACCTCTGTGAGTGGGCTGGGACTCTAACCCTGAGGCTGGGACTCAAACCCTGAGATGGGACTTAGTATACAGGCGCTGAGCTGAATCTTGTGTTTGCTGAATATAAACCATTTACTTTGACTGTGGAAATGAATAAAAGTTTAAAAATTTTCGGACATTCGGATGTATCCGAATTACTGTATATACCTATTGTAACAAGGACACTCCACTGTAGTCCAGGTAAGTCAAATCAAATGCAGTTTATTTAGGGCAAACAGAAATATATCTTGCATCAGCAGCAACATAAGACAGTTCCCTTTAATGTGCAAATGCTCTGATACCCAAAAACGATAGCGGCACTCTTATTTATGCAAATCAGGTGCCTGAGTAAGGCCCCACTAATGCTGGCAACCTCTGTTTCCACTGGCTCACACATCTTCCGCTCCTAAGACTCTCTGCACATCTCCTTCTCCTGAGACCCTCCGCACCTCTTCCCCTCCTGAGACCTTCTGCACATCTCCACCTCCTGAGATCCTCCACATCTCGTCCCTCCTCAAATCTCACCCTTCCGAAACCCTTCCCACATCTCCCCCTCCTGAGACCCTCCACTTGGAGACATCAGGCCAGCACCGCAGAGCAGCAGCACAGAGTGCACTATGTACAGGTATGGTGCAGCAAAACTAAAGCTGAACGCCACAGCTACTTTAAAAAGATTGTCTGTGATTTGTGTGTCCTGTGCTTTAGTTTGCATTGCTGTATAATGTATTGCCTAGATTTGTAGTCTACTATAGCTGATGGTATTCTGCATTGCTGTGTAATGTATTGCTGTAGTCCTTTATAGCTGGTGGTATTCTGCATTGCTGTATAATGTATTGTTGAGATTTGTAGTCCCTCTACAGCTTGGAGTCAGTGGCAGAACTACCAGGGACACAGAGTTCGCAGCTGCGACTGAGCCCTGGGGGGGAATTTATCAAAACTGGAGCACACAAAACCTGGAGCAGATTTGCACTGCAGCCAATCAGCTTCTCTGTCTCATTTTCAAATCTTACCTGAGCAAACTGAGGAGAGATGCTGATTGGTTGCCATGAGCAACTGCTCCAGGTTCTCTCTGCTCCAGTTTTGATAAATTCCCCCTCTGGTGTTCCACCACTGTCCTGAAATCCTTAATCTGTAACGTTTTATAAAAAACACAGACACTCTACATAAGGTATCAGTAATTGGTATTAGCGAGTACTTGAGGAAAAGTATTGGTACATGGTCTGGCAAAAATTGTATCCGTGTATCCCTAAAATATATATATATATATATTTGATTTGTTTGTACATGTGGCTCTGTGTCATTTGGCCATGCTAAAATATCACTTCTAAATAGGCAAAACTTGCATCCAAGATTCACACAATTTTCTATTTAGGTGCAATTGAAAAAAAAATGGTGAAAGTAGTTTCAATCTTGTCAGAAACCTTTAAAAGCAAAATGCCTAAATATATGTTTCATGACAGTGTATAATATATGACATTATAGGAGATTGGAAATCGATGTACAGCATTTTTTGTCTGGAAATGAGCCTAATAGACATAATGATTGTACATAAACATCTTTACAATCCACATTTCACAATCCAGATGCATTCACCATTTTTCTCATCCCTTGTTATTTATTGTCACTGAGACTAAAGCCTTGTTTATTTCAGTAGTCATTCCCCTGGTAGACAAGCATTTCTTCCCACAAGCCAGGAGGTAAACTCTGAGAAATGTATAGCTTAGTTCTTCTCATGGGTTCTTCTAGATGTTTATTTTTTGTGATTAGGCAGAATGCACAGATCTTAACTGCTTGAAGACCAGGTGTTTAGATCCCCTACCTGGCCAGGCCATTTTTCAGTGTTCAGCGCTGCGGTACTTTGACTGACATTTATTCCGTCATGCAACGCTGTACTGAAATTAATTTTATACCATTTTTTGGGGACAGATAGAGCTTTATTTTGGTGGTAAAGACCCAGAGATAATGAGTGGAGGGGCTGCATGACTGGGGGGAAGAATAGTCCCTGGAGAAGGGGTTAAATAAAGTGTGAATCATCTTACCTGATTGGAGGTTGGGGTCAGGTGTTAGGGAGGAGCCACATGGGATTAGTGATGGGCCGAACATACCCGAGTTTGGTTTGAATTCGAACTTTAGAACATGGAAAAAGTTTGAACTCGAACTCAATGCAAGTCTTTGGGACCAGAACTTTGAAGCTCAAATGTTCCCTTTTTTGAACCTTTTTATGCAAGTTATTGACCATAAAAAGGGTATGGGGATTCGAGTCGTGCCCCGAGGGACATGTATCAATGAAAAAAACACTTTAAAAAAAATACTGTTTTTAAAGGATTAATGATTTTAACATCACTTCATGTGAAACAATAAAAAGAAAAAATTCCTTTAAATATCGTGCCTGGGGGTCCCCTTGAAACTGCCTGTAAAGTGTTGCATCTGTACGATTTTATAGAACCTGCAGCAGCAAAAAGTGACAATTAATAAGGAAAAAAAAATAGCGTGCGGTCTCCCCCAAACAATACCAGACCCTTTAGGTCTGGTAGGAAAGTTAGGAGGGACCCCATTTAAAAAAAAAAAAAGAAACAAAAAGTGTATGGGGTCCCTTACGGTCTGGTAGGAATTTTAAGGCGGAACCCCACCTCCAAAAATGGGGTGGAAAATTTCCCAGCCAGGTCCTTGATCTGAGCACAGGCCTAGCAAGGCAGGAAGAGGGGGGGGACTAGCGAGTGCCCCCCCTCCCATACCAGGCCACATGCCCTCGGCACTGGGAGGGTGCTTTTCCAGGGTCACCCCTGGAAAAGCACCTTGTCCCTGTGCCGATAGGGACAAGGGCCTCTTCCCCATAAGCCCTGGGGCGTTGGTGGTGGGGGTGTAGGCAGGGGAGCTTATTCAAACCAAGGTACCCCTTTAATAAAGGGGCACCCAGATGCGCCCCCCCCCCTCTTTAAATACGTAAGGGATACTTGTACACCTACCCATTCACTAAAGGGTTAAAATAAATTTAAATAAAAAGTCCAGACTTTTAGAAAAAAAATCCTTTAATTGAAATAAAAACACAACAAAGGCATTTCCCAAGTCCTTTATTGTTATAAAAAAGACCCCAAAAAATTATCCACCGACGTAATCCAGGGTCAATCACAACGTCCAGCGTTGTCCACGATGACGACGACTCGACTAAATTAAAAAAATAGAAATAATAATTTTTTACAAATCTGATGCTCGCCGACCGATCCGCTCGTGGCAAACTGACAGATGCGCCATGATTGGGCTTACAGAGTACTGTGCCGTGATTGGGCAAAGTCTTGCACCTTACATGTGGTCAGCTGCAAGGCTTTAGCCAATCAGGGCTTCACAAGGCAATGTGCGGTGTGCAGTGTCTTGTGGGGCGCTCAGCTGGCGAACAATTGTGAATATTGACTAATAGGGAAGATTAGGCGGTTGGAGGAAAGGGGTAAGTGCATCTTCTACAGAAGAAAATTTTATATACTATATATTTTATATCATTATATATATATATGGCAGGATTACTTTTAAATTGTGCTTTTCAATAAATGTAGGCCATTGCAAATACTCAATTCCCACAAAACAATCCAGGGTGCATACAAATAAGAGAAATTTACAACAACAGTCTAAAAATATATAGGAAAGTCCTTGATCTATGTCAATGGTTCCTGCAGCCACTGCAGCAAAGTCAATAAATTAGTTATGAAAGCGTGGGGTGGTTTTAAGTGTCATGGCAATAATCAGACGGGAAAAAAACCCAATTTCAACTTGGAGGAATATTCCCTCCTTTGTGTTCTAATCCCTCTTTCTCTCTTTCCTCATTAGTTTTCCCTTGTTGAAAACTGTTGTACACATAGAGCAAAATTTGCTCCATTGTGATCCTTTTACTTCGGAAGAAGTCAATCATTAGATCAAATTTTGCCAAAGAAACATGTTGGAAAATCTTCAACCAAGATTCAATTCTGGTACTCAGACAGTACATACATATGGAGTGGTGAATCTACCTAATGTGGACACAGATAGCAATAAAAAGCCAAGAGGGTCTAAACCTCCCCCACCGTCTCCACAACCCAAAAAATACACTTTAATACACATGACATAGGATTATGCAAAGCATAGCAGCATGCTTTGGGGCTTCCTGTTTGATAAGGGATGAGTCACCGCTTTGATGTATCTATTATTATTATTATTATTATTATACAGGATTTATATAGCGCCAATAGTTTGCACAGCGCTTTACATTATAAGGAAGACATTACAGTCACAATACAATTCAAGACAAGATGGTAAGGTGGGCCCTGCCCGTCTATGCTTTGATGTCAATTATGTTCTGTAAACAACCGGCTTTTTCAGCAGAGGTGAAAACTATATACCTGAAAACATAAATGTAGCTCCATTCACTGGATGGATAGAAGACTATAACATTTTATCATGCAATATTTCATATTTACCTGACCAATAAAAAAAACATTTTTTTATAAGACCTGATCATTTAAAAAAAAACACGTACAAAGCCACAATATATTCCCTCAAAATCAATAAAGTGTGTTTCTTTTTTGTTAAAGCCACTACAGAACAACAGACAGTGTCGTTTGAAATGGAAATGTCCCAATCTGGATTCAGTGCTCACTATTCTAAGGTAAACATTGTATTCTTGGCTTGTTCGACTCTATCTCTCAGAAGAGTGCAGAATACCTTATTAAGGCTCCTTTTGGATCTTGCCTTTTGATCATTTCTGTGTGATTTATAGTTCAGTATTTTAAGTGTTAGTTTTGGCCTTCTTAATATTGTTTACTGGCAATGTTATTACCCATCTTTTGGGACTAATAGCTTTTACTGCATCATCATGAATGAGAAAAGGTAACAGCGCCCAAGGAAGAGATGGAAGTATCAGTGTACTTTTACATTATGCATCACATAGGTCATAGAGCCAACATTTTAGGGCCATGTAGTGTCCCTTCCTCAGGGTAACACAGTGTTTCCTTGAGGAAGGGACCCTGCATGGCCCCAAAACATTGGCTGTATGACCTATGTGACTCCATGGAAATAAAACTACACTGATTCTTTCATCTCTACATGAAGGGCTTATGACCCTTTCTCCTTTACGGGTAAGATTGCGCAGTGTCATCCGGTGTCATTACAACAAACACCTTCCCCTATTTTGATCACAACGCTCTATGGAGTGCAGCTTAGGTTGTTATCAATACCAGTGGATGTTATCTATACCAGTGGTTCTCAACCTGTGTAACCTCAGGACCGATATTTGTCCATGGTCATTAAGTCGCGACCCAAGACGCACTGCAATGGAATGCACATCATTGCGGTACCGCGCAGGAAAGTGAACTGTGGGCGTGAGGTGGGAATGAATAGCAATGCACCTCCCACACCAGAATGTGTAGTAGGTGCGATTGCATGGTGCAGTGCGCGTTAATGGCACAGGACTGTTCATTTAACACACTGTACTAGTGTGAACGGGCCCTCAAAAACGCTGACAAATACACACAACCACAATCTCCCACACACACATTTCCACACTCCAAAAAAAATGTATTTCTTTTTTTTTTTTAAAGATCCACCCAGTCTCCCTAATTCATGAGAACTGGAAATTAGAAACTAGAAAAGTGGAAAGCATGCCATGACCTACTGAACATGGTGTTGCGACCCACTTTTGGGTCACCACCCACCAGTTGAGAACCAAGGCTCTCATCATGCTTAAAAAATGAATGTAACAAAATAGTTTATAAAATGTAACAGGAGGAGGGTTAAATACTACTGATAATAAATAAAGATATACATACACTACAGTTAGCTGCTTTTATTTTAGCCCAAACTTCTTATTTATCTTGGTTAGAACCTCTGTTTTTAATTCTTGAGAGGTGTAGGTGGGAGGCACTGCACCCATAAACTAATCTGACTTTACTATACAGCATGAGTCTTGTGGTGTGGACTACAACAACTGTGGGTGGGCGGCTCATTTTAAGCCATGATAAAGATAAAGAAGGTTTTCCTTGGATTTTCAAGCAGAAATACATTTTTGGACTTTGTGTGACACTCCTTTCCTATCCCAAACTTCCTATAACCAGGAAATCTTTTCAATGGTGGCAGATTCTTGCTGCTTGAATCTGCAGCCGAACCTCAGAGACTCCTATGAATGAGGCCTAACTTTTTTTTATCTGCAAAGTCATGCATTTGATATACAGCTCTATGATACGTAAATATTATAAAGTGAACCTGTGCCATGACTATGCACACCAAAGTATTTACATATTCTGAACAAACAGTAGAAATGCTTTACAACAAGTAGACATGTAAGCCGGCAATAATTTGTTTCATTTCGTTTTGCATTTTTCGTTATTTTGTTTTTCGGTATTTTCATTCATTTTGGATGAGTTAAACCATAGTTTTTTTTTTACAGTGTGGTGTGTTTACTGCTTTTACTGTATTTGGTGAATGAGTAGGGCTAACAACTACCCCTTACTGATTCATGGGGGGGGGAAGGGGTCGGCATCAGGGTGACCACTTTATGAAAGGAGACCCCCATATTCAGATAAGCCCCCCTGCCCGCAGACCCCTACAACATCAGGGCTGGGGTTGTGAGGATAAGGACCTTGTCCTCATCGACATAGGGACAGGATGCTTTGTCAGAGGATCCCCCCCGGCAAAGCACCCTCCACATGTTTAGGGCATGTGGCCTGGTATGATGCGGGGGGGGGGGGGCTGCATGCTCATCCCCCCTCTGCCAGACTGCTGCTTGGATCAAGGGTCTGGCATTTCAGGAGAAACCCCACGCTTTTTTTTTTTTTGCATTGGGATCCCCCCTAAAATTCCTACCGGACCTATAGGGCCTGATATGAATTGTTTACCTATTTGTATTGAGATATAACTTCTGAGCTTAGTGTCACTTTAAGCCTTAGGAAGGTATTCGGACAAAAATTTATCTCTTCTTGACTGCAATGTGACCCGTCGATCAGGGGAGACATTAGGAACAGAAGTGAGCCATTTGAACAAGCAGGCCATTAGATATCAACATTAGGTGCATTCTGAACTGCATCTGTGTGTCGGTTTGCTATATTTTGTAGAAGGAATGTGTTCATTTGCCAGTGCAGGTGCTGGGGCACCCCGGCCATCTCCTTAAAGGAGAACTATGGGGTTAAGTATTTTCCCCATAGTCCTCCTTAGGGTAACGGGAGGACACAAACTAGCATCCTCCCGTCACCCTAGGCTCAGTATACTGCGAGCTGTAGCTCGCGGTATACTGAGACGCTGAAGCGGATCCCGACAATTGTGCCGGGATCCGCCCAGCTGCGTGACTGACAGCTGGCTCTGCCTATCTAAGGGCAGAGCCAGCTGCACCCGCCCCCTCCCCCGTCCGTTCCACCAGTCAGCACTGGCGGATCGGAGTGGGGAGGGGGGAATCCAGCAGAGAGCCGTGATAGGATTGAGAGGTGAGCGAACGCCGGTATGTGTTCGCTCACCTCCCGATCTACTGAGCCGACCTGTGACAGTGTCATTGTCACAGGTCGGCTAGAACTATGAGGTGAGTGGAAAGCACTCACCTCATAGTTCTCCTTTAAACTGTCTTCAAATCAACGTTCTCTACAGTCCAAATGATCCTTTCTTCTGAAAGTGTGAAGCCCTGATGAAGTGAGTTCCCTATAACCCACCATAATGTGTTGACTTGTTAATAATGTCTTTTTGTCAATGAATACACTCTCTTACATAGACGTCACCACTAGTATTTTGCTTTCTTTGTTTTTTATTTAATCAGAATGCAATGCAAAGGTACTGAATGTATTAACATGAATTCACTTAATGATATATTGCTTAATATAGAATTTTCATTGAAACTGGAGTTTTCCTTTGTGGGTTTCAGGAGCAGGTGTTCTCTGCTGTTAATAAAAGGAAAATACACAAAGTTTGATTCACATTTACCTCTATATATACTTTTCCCTGATTTAGGACTGGGTGATGCTTGGTGCCGTTGGAGCCTACGACTGGAATGGAACAGTTGTCATGATGAAATCTGATGACAATGTCACCCCAGGAAATAAATCATTTCACACAAGATCAGAAGATAGAAATGAGCCTTTGGCAGCCTACTTAGGTCAGTTGGAAATTCCTATTCAACTGTTTTCACCTTTTTTCCCCCATCTCAGTGTTGCTGAACTCCTACATCCTCATTCAGCCATTTCCTGCCTACTGCACATGCACTCACTCCAGCATTGGCTGCGCATCATTGCTTAGGATTGATTTCTGGAAAATGATAATCGTGGACTATGTGTGTCAGCAACTTGTAGTTTCCACCAGGGGTGTATGCGACAGGGTGATGGAGCACGAACACAACTTGGAGACACAAAAAGGAACGTTATCACCCAATAACAGAAAATGCCTGAGCATAGACCTTCATTGCAGTATCATCATTTAAAGGCTGCAGTTTTATTTAAAGGCTGAGCTCTAGACAGATATTAAAAATCATATAATAATGCAGCTCTGTAATCTTTAATACATCATAAGATGTATTTTTTAAATGCAAGCAGCCTCTTACAGTACCTGTATAGCAGAAATGAAGTGTGAGAGGAGGAAGCAGTACAAGAAGCCAGAATCAGTTCATGTGATGACAAGAAGCATGCAGACAGGAGAAAAAAGCAAAGTGCCAGACAGATGAGCTCATCACTGTGCTGCTTCCCCTATTACTGTCAAGTCACCGCCTAGGGGTTGACCAGTGCTCAGAGGAGGTGGGATTAATAATGCTGGCCATCACTGAGGACATGTAGTGGCAGAAAAGGTACTGCAGGGAAGTCTACGGATTAAAGCTGAATATTGCAGCAAACACTGGTTTGCTATTTTATCTTTTAACAAGCTACTTATTTCTATCTTGTTTTGCTGGTGATCAGCTTCAATGAAAGCTACAGATTTAACTCTGGTAATTTTTTTTCCAAATAGTTCTCCAGCTCTTGCTGCAATAGCCATGATCTCTCCATCCATGTGGCTCGTAAACAAACCTTATCTGCGATCTAGTGCCGGTCTTTTTCCAGGTTGAATGACGCTCAGCGTCCCAGTGTCATTCAACATTTTTTCTGTCAGTGCACCTGCGTAGTCATCAGCACAGCACCCAGCACTCGTATACAGCCATGCATTCTCTGCATCAACAACCCAGTGCCAGAGAAATGGCAAAGAGAATGATGACCATGAATGCCATATGACTGGACCTCCCAGTCTTCCTGAGTTCCCAATGGGCTTTGTGCTTCCCTGCTGCTTGATGTGACTCAATCTCAATTTCTCAAGGCCACATATCCCATCATGCATTGCTTCCAGCAAGCAATAATAATGTTACATTGTGAGAAGTTCAGATGTTGAGTTGTAGTTCAGATGGCAGTCTTAGTTGGAATGGTGACAACAGGAAATTTATATTCACAAGGCTGAGCAAAATTGTGTCAGTTCATTGAGGAAGTAGATAGAACTCATGAAAATTCAGCATGATGGCTTAGTGGTTAGCACTTCTGTCTTGCAGCACGGGGGGTTCCTGGTTCAAATCCCATCTACAAGGAATGTGCATGTTCTCTCTGTGCTTGTGTGGGTCTCCTCTCACATTTCATAGACATGCTGGAATGTTAATTGGCTCCTGTCTACATTGGCCCTGCATGTGTGTGAAATAGGCACCTTAGATTGCAAACTCCTTGAGGGCAGGGACTGATGTGAATGTGCAGTATGTAAAGCTCTGCCTAAATTGTTGGCGCTATATAAATACCTCTAATAATAGATATTGTCCAGCTCTGACTTCATGTCTTGGGTATTGGGAGATAGCTTAAAGGAAAAGTTGGACCCCCCCTTTCAGTGAATATGTTTACATCATTTCAGCTTCAGGAAAATAGTACAAGGATTCAGTTTCCATGGGAATCAGCTCCCTTACTATTAAAAATGCACCATTTTTTTGTTAATCAGCTTCCCTTGGGTCAGCAGGAGAAAATTTAGCAAAAGGTCAAAGTGGAGCTGCAGTCAAAATGTAATCTACTTTCAGATTAGGAGGAGGGTTAGACCCTGCATAAATTGTCGGTGTTATATACATAAAATAAATAATTTATACAGATTTTTTTTGTTCGTTTTTGACCATAGAGACCCTTTAAAGACAGACAATGACTTTTGAAACAATATTACTACATTAAAGATCATATGAGAATTATGTAATTGGGTTTGTATCTTTTACGGTGAGAGTAAACAAACACTTAAAATGACACTAAAGTGTAACACCCTGCTCCCCCACATCTAGGTTTTCTGGGTAACCATAAATCAGTGAAACATAATTACTGTTTGATGGCAGGAAACATGAACAGTTGTGCCTCCGAAGAGATTCTGTGTATGATGTTGTTTTGTCTTCACATTTCAATGGATGCTCTTAACAAGTGATGTTTTGTATTTCCTGATGCCAGTGACCGGCCATACACTCAGACAGTAGCAGGATGCTCTCTGAATTACGGGTCAATAGGAGGTGTTTCCTATATCTGTCTGTGTAAAGACCAAACAATTCAAAGGAACAGCGCATTTTGGGTGGTTCCAGTAAAGGGACATTCAGAACACTATTCGGCATAAGTTGGCAACAAAATTAACTTAAAGTAGAACTCCAGGATTGTAAGCAGTTAACCCTTGCAGTCGGGCTACCCCACACTGCAAGGGTTAAGTGCTTGTTTTGTCTAGGGGGCAAAAATAAAAAAATTAATACTCACCTGATCATTGGTCCCACATGGCTTCTAAACTGGTCTCTGCAGCCTCTCCCCCCGGGCTCCATCAGTCTAACGACTCGTGAGAGGTGAGCTGTCACTGCAGCATGATCAGGTGAGTGTTTCTTCTTTATTTTTGCCCCTATGGCAATTTAAACAGTTTCCTTATAGTGCGGGGGCAGCCCAAGTGTAAGAGTTAATTATTCACTATTCTGGAGCTCTTCTTTAAGGATGGCAAGATTACATTTTCTGACGAACGATTTTTCAGAATGTTGAAGTTTGAGCAAAATTCTAAGTGTGCATAGTTAGGAGCCCGTATGTTTATTCCTATTTTGTTACAACGTGATAGCAGAAAAAGACCAAAGAGTCTATCAACTCTTCCTTTGTTATTCTTTTTTTTTTTTTTAATTTTTGTTCGATTATAGAGTTATATTTTTCTCAAACTGTCCTGTTGACTGACTCACTACCTCTGTTGGAAGTCTGTTCCAGGCATCAACAACTATTTCAGTAAAATTAAACTTTTTTAAGGTTAGTCTTGAACTTTTTCCCCACTAGTTTGAAGTCATGTCCCTGTGTTCTTGATTCATTCTGAATGACATTCGTCAATAATGCGTCTGAATTTTCGTTATAAAGAATTTGGATAGGTTTACATTAGTTATTTCTTTCATTTGTTGCACTGCACCTGCAATCCACTGATGGCAGTTGCAATGGTTTGTAGCTTCCAGTGCAAAACAATTAAAGTGACATTAAAGTCTCAGTTTTCCCCCATTGTAATGCTGCTTTACATATTGAAAAGCACAATTTTAAAGCTTGAAATGTTTGGTGTCTATTTACCCGACGTGACCCCGTCTTTTATATTTTACCAAAAAATTGGGTAACAGGTTTTTTTCCCCTAAAGTTTCAATATGTTTTGGGTTATATAGTTAACAATAAAACCCCCCCGTGGTGATTAAATACCACCAAAAGAAAGCTCTATGTGTCCCCAAAAAAATGCTGTAAAATTAATTTCAGTACAGCGTTGCATGACGGAATAAATGTCAGTCAAAGTATTGCAGCGCTGAATACTGAAAAATGGCCTGGACAGGAAGGGGGTTTAACACAGCGGTCAGCAAGTGGTTAATGCACTTTCCCTACGTTTGTACCTCCTAATGACGCTTTGAAATGGCTCAGAGTTGCTTGTCATCCTACGTATAAACCTGCTCCAAACAACTAGAAAGGTAAGGATACATAAAAAAACAACAGGTATGCTGTGTGATAAGCTCATAACAAACAAAACATGGGGGGGGGGTTCTAAAATTTGACTGCAAAAGTAGAAATATGCTTTACAGGTACAGGAGGGCTTTTTATATGAAGCTTAGATGAAGAACATGGGGACATGACCTCAAATTAGCGAGAGGAAAATTGTTGTCGGGATGGTTTACTGCACTTTGTACGGTTATATAACTCTGTTTACATTTAGGACAAGCTATTATAATCGATTCAGTGCAGAATCAGGTCTGTTCTGGTAACGGATACCAATTGTTTCCCATGGAGCCTGGAATACCAGAAACCGGATGACTGCCAAATATCTGCTAAACTTAAACAGTCCAATTTAACAAAATGCTTCTTTCAAATAATATGAAGTACTAGAGCAACAATGTTGTGGTATGCAAACAAGGTTATTCACAAAAGGGAGAAGAGTTTGGAGAAGGCAGGAGATGTGAGAAATCTAGGACAACATAGCTGATTTGGAAAAATTCTCCAATTCAGCTCACTTTCCAGTTCAGCTATGTTGTCCTGGATTGTCAAACATTCTCATAGGGGCCTAACGGCAGTGAGTGAATAGCAGAATGCTGCCGAGCGGCATTCGTCTCAGCTATTCTGCTCAGTACCTCTGTTGTACCAAGCAGAGTAGCAAATCAATGAAAAGAGTAAAAAAAAAAAGTAGAAAAAATATTTTAAAAAATGTAAATAAATAATAAATAGGAAAAATAATTAAAGATTTTTTTAAAAAGAAAAAAAAAACAATTTGGCAGAGCTAGCGGTTAGCTCCGCCCAACTGTTTCCTATTGGCCGACTCCTGCTATAGTCTTCTAGCAGGTCCCGGACAATGAATAACAACTGGGCGGAGCCAGCTGTGATGTCACGGTCGGCCCTCGCCCAGTTGTTATTGTTTAATGACAGTTCAGCGTCCCCAGGTCATTTGGGGACTCTGATCTGTAATTACGACTGGGCGGAGCCAGCCATGAGATCACGTCTGGCTCTGCCCCGCTGTTATTTGCGGGGCAAAAGACCAGCCTTGGGCCGGCCGTTCGCCTCGCTTCGGCTGTCACTTTGGCTCAGTCGAACCGAAGTATATGCATTCGGTTCGGCTGAGCAGCTCGGCTGCCTTCGTCTGCTTTATTGGCTGTTAATAGCCCGTACAGCGGCCCTTCGGTTTGACTGAACCGAAGGGCTCCAGTGGCGAAAGAGAAGCAAAGGATCATCCGAAGCTACGGTTGGATCCTTCGGCCCCCCTGTGAATAGTCCCCTTAGTTTAAGAGTAGTCAATGAAAGCATCCCAGGGCCAGCATGTGAGCTTGTCTATATGGAGTCTGTCTATTCCTCCTGTGTGCCCCGCACACCTCTGCTATCATACTGAGCGGCCAAATATGACAATCTGTTAAATGTGCAGCACTATTGGGTTACATTAATGGAGTCAGCACTACTGCACATTATTAATGAGCTGACACTGAAATTGTGCACTAAACTCTTCAACAAAACAGACACACGTGCACACTTGTAAGGTTGCTACCTGACTCGGATCCGCTCTCTCCCCTGGCTGTCTCTTCTTCCCTCTCATGTATATATTCCAAAGCAAAAAAATTGCCACGCGGCGCTAGAGTGTTCGGGTTTCACTTGAAGACAAGGTGGCAACCCTATGTCCTAGATTGTTCCTTTCTCTTGCCTTCTCCAAACTCTTCACCGTTTAGTGACTAACCCTGTTAGATGAGCACTTGTTATAATATGCTGTCATTTGTGAGCACTTTGCTGATAGTTTTGACTTCTTCACATGCTTTTATTTTTAGGATACACTGTAACTTCTGCTTCTGTGAAAGGAGGAGAAATCTACATTGCCGGGCAGCCTCGATACAACCATACGGGACAGGTTGTTATTTACAAAATGCAGGGAAGAAACATCAATATAATTGATACATTAAAAGGAGAACAGGTGGGTGTATATTACTGTCAATATATCTGTAAAAAAATAAGTCAAGTCAACTGGCAAGGCAGTTTTATTTTTTTTACAGATATACCATGACCTGGATGAATGAGAACCTTCACAGACTTTACTGTCAATACATAATAGGCTGAATCCTTAGGATACATGTAATGGAGCCAGCCATATTGTGGGGGTTTCCTGCATGTGATCCCAGCCCACCACACAAAATGTGTTTGACCTAATAGAAATATATAAGCACCTTTCATTTTGGTGAATTTGGCACAATTACACGTGTCTTGAGTTTTACGTTTTGGGTATGGGTTGAACTTTTAAGAAGTACACACATTCCTGGTTCAATGTTAATTGAAGATCAAAAAATCTGTATTAGTTTGTGGCCACTTTCATCATAGAGTATCTATGACATCTCAATAATGGTGTAATATGATATATAGCATGGTCAACCATCATACCCTCTGCACTCCTCTCCTGTGCAAACTGCCCACTGTCCTACCCTCAGCACTCCTTTCCTGTGATACTGCCCACCTACTCTTTGTACTTTTCACCAGTGCATACGGCCCACTGTCACACCATATGTACTCCTCTCCTGCACACGTCGCCTTTCATCATACACTTTGTGCTCCTTTACTAGACATATATACCGCTTTCATACTCTTTGTACTCCTCAACAGAACATACTGCTCTCTGTAAGACCTCCCACACTCCTCTACTGCCAGGGGCGTAACTACAAATCATGGGGACTCATAGCAAAACTTTGGGCTCCCCCGCTAATTCTCTCGGCAGTGGCTGGCATTGTCTGCTGTGACTATACATGTTATTAATCTTAACATAGAGTATGTATGAAGGGCAGGCAGCAGGAGAGCTGTCAGCATAGCCTGTACACTACTAGGGAGCCATGTTGGGGGTAAAGGTTATAGTAGCACTAATAATAATCATAATAATATTTTATATGATGATAAAATGATGAATGCTCTTGTACGTATTTACTCTTCAACCCTAATACAAACTTATTTAAACTCGAACTTCATTAAACTTTTTTGTAGAACCACAAACATCAGCCCTCCTATAAGGTTTTAATAGAGGAGAAACTCTGGTATTGGTGGCTGCATTAGGCATACCAGGTTCATTTCCATCTGTAGAAGTTCAGAGAGCAATACATTTACACTAAGATAGCTAAGCCAATGATTCTACTGCATAGAGAGGGGGGACTATTCTGAGGTCTGACTTCAGCCCTTCTATACTGGAAACTTTAGTTTTCCTATTCAGTCCCTCTAATGGGGCCCCCTCCTACCCCAGATCCTATAGCAGCTGTGTGGGCTGTTGTTACCCCACTGTCTCCTGCACATACTGCCCGCTGTCATACCCTCCACATTCCTCTACCTCTCACTATAACATCTTCAGCAATGTAGAGGTGCACTCACTTTTCCCATGTCACAAATATGCATTTTTGCTAATTTAAATAGTGAGAATAAATATACCATGTCAAGTATATCACCTTTATCTGTAGCCACAGGATAAATGAAGATCTGATGTTTGCCTGTTTAAATATGTTGGCTGTATAGTTCCTGAGATATCCAGTTGATGAATGATTATTGAAGAGGAAATGTCTTCTCTTGAGCATAGGTTTAATTTATTTGGGGGTACCATGTTACATTGTATAATGTTTTTAAACACATCACTTATAAACATATTATTTTATCAAAATGACAAGAATGCATGACCTAACATAAACCTTTGCTTTGCTAACACGACTTGTGTATTGATTTTTTCAGATTGGATCTTATTTTGGAAGTGTCCTCACCACAGTAGATATAGATGGAGATACTATCACTGACATTCTTCTAGTTGGTGCACCAATGTTTATGGGAGTTGAAAAACAAGAACAAGGAAAAGTGTATGTCTATAGCATTCAGGAGGTTAGCATTTTCAGCTATTAATATGTTTTGAGAAGGATGTGGGGTGGCTTTTTAGGTCTTACTAGCAGTTTCACATCCAAGCTCTACTTCAACATTTACATTTGTAACATAAAAGTTAACCCCAAAGCATTTTATTTTTCCTCTAACATTAACATACTCTAAACCCTAATGTGAATCCTTAAAGTCTATCTCTGGGTAAACAACAAAAAAGTACAGTAAAGCTACCAGTCTTCGATGGGTTATTTGTTGTATAAGATATTGCCCTTTTGTTCAGCATGATCATGCAAGGAATTCAAACTGATGCACATCTTAACTTGAACTTATGCTACTCGAAGAGGACTTCGATATAGTGGGAATAGCAGAACCCTAAATTTCAGAAGGGCTAACTTTAATAAACTACGCCAACTAGTGGGGGACATCAAATGGAAAAACTTGTTCCACAACCTGAACTCGGACCAAATGTGGGACTGTTTTAAGAACACATTATATATTGCTATTGCCAAGTGTATACCGTTGGGTAACAAAAGTAAAAGATCGAAAACTAAGCCTGTATGGCTAAATAAAACTGTAAAACAACACATCAAGGACAAGAGAGCGACATTTATAAAATATAAGATGGAGGGGTCAGCATTAGCGTTTAATAGCTACAAAGAATGTAATAAAAGATGCAAACTAGTAATCAGGACAACTAAAATAGAGTGTGAAAGGCATATTGCCACAGTTAGTAAAAAAAAAAAATTCTACCAATATATAAACAGTAAAAAGGTGAGAAAGGAGCAGATAGGCCCAATAAAGGATGAAAACGGGAGGATAGTCACAAACAACCAGGAGAGAGCCAAGGCGCTGAACACGTTCTTCTCCTCAGTATACACTCAGGAAAAAGATGGGTTTAATGCACATGATAAAACACATAGTTCAGCACAAAATATACCGAAGTGGTTGACGGAAAATGAGATACTACAAAGACTTGCAAAACTTAATGCAAATAAAGCAGTGGGACCAGATAACTTGCACCCCAAAGTGCTTAAAGCACTGAGGCAGGTTATAACAAAACCATTATTCCTCATTTTTAAGGACTCTTTAATGACTGGTAGAGTTCCAAGTGACTGGAGGAGGGCTACGGTAGTCCCAATATTCAAAAAGGGGGCAAGATGCCAACCGGGGAACTACAAACCAGTTAGTCTTACATCGGTGGTATGTAAAGTGTTGTAGGGAATGATTAAGGACTATTTGGTAGAATATGTTCAGAATAATGGTATAGTCAATGACAATCAGCATGGGTTCAGGAAGGACCGTTCTTGCCAGACTAACCTGCTAACTTTTTACGAGGCGGTAAGTAGAAATCTGGATGGAGGGAGACCGGTGGATGTGGTATATCTGGATTTCTCAAAGGCTTTTGATACGGTGCCACACAAACGCTTGTTATACAAGCTGAGATCCATGGGCATAGATGGGATGGTGTGTACATGGATAGAGAACTGGCTACAGGAACGGGTACAAGAGTATCTATAAATGGTAGCTTTTCAGAATGGGCTAGTGTCATGAGCGGTGTGCCTCAGGGTTCTTTGCTGGGCCCCATGCTGTTCACACTATTTATTAACGACATCGGGGAGGGTGTGAGTTGCAATGTTTCAGTGTTTGCTGATGATACCAAAATCGGGGAGGTAATAGAAACGGACCTAGACAGTTTAACATTACAGGAGGACCTGGATAAAATATGGGAGTGGGCTAATATATGGCAGATGAGGTTTAATGTTGACATATGCAAAGTAATGCACTTTGGAAATAAAAATAAGCAAATGGGCTATACAATTATGGGTATGCCATTAGGGAAGTCAGAAATAGAAAAATATTTGGGGGTTATTGTAGGGGATTGATTAATAGCTTGCAGTGCCAGACTGCTGTAAACAAATCAAGTAGAGTCCTGTCCTGTATTAAGAAGGGTATTTATTGCAGAGACAAGTCCATAATTGTGCCACTTTATAGACCACTGGTTTGGCCTCATCTGGAGTATGCGGTCCAGTTTTGGTCACCAGTCCACGGAAAGGACGTCCTTGAGCTTGAAAGAGTCCAGCGGAGGGCAACCAAACTAATTAGGGGAATGGAGGACCAGAGCTATGAGACAAGGCTACTAAATGTAAACATGTTCACGTTAGAAGTAAGGAGATTAAGGGGGGACATGATTTTCATGTACAAATTGTTTAATGGTGACAGTAACATTAGCAACAAACTCTTTACAATTAACTCCGTAACAAAGACTAGAGGCCACCACATAAAATTGGTGGAAAAGAAATTCAAGCACAAGGGGCAAAGGGGGTTCTTCACAGTTAGAGCGGTTAGGGCCTGGAACCCGCTGCCAGAGGCGGTGATCTCAGCTAAGAATGTGGAATAATTCAAGAAGCTTTTAGACGATTTCCTGAGAAACCATAACATACAGGGGTACAGGTACAATTAAGAATGAACTGATACAAGGACATATGTGTGTATGTGAGGGTGTGTTTGTATGTATATATGTATGTGTGTATGTACATGTGTATGTGCATGTATATGTATGTGTATTATATATGTGTGTGTGTGTATACACATACGCACACATCAACAATAGGTTGGACTTGATGGACTTATGTCTTTATTCAACCTCAAATACTATGTAACTATGTAAAATCAGTTTCTGGTTATGTTACTATCAATGGGGACCACAATATTCGGAACAAAATGTTTACTCCAAGATCTATACTGAGGATACTTGGACACAACAGGAGGTTAGAAGAGATGGGATTCAATCTTAAATTGCAAGAGGTTTTTTTTTTACTGTGTGTGTAGTAAAAATGTGGTATCTAGGCATGTGCCATTCGTTTGGTTCCGAATCAAAATTCGGACTCATTTTTCGAAATTCGGACACATCTGAATTTCCGAATCCCAATGCATCCAAATGTGTCCGAATCTGAATTTCCATGTCCGAACTTCAGGTCCTGAAAAAACTAAACTGAATCGGACATATGACTTTTCTGGCCAATCAGATGTGTTTTTCAGTTTAATGCATCCGAATGGGTCTGAACACGAATTTTCATTACGTCAACATGGGAGCCAAAATACAGTATATACCTATAATACTAAAGCTGAGGCTCCTAGACCCGAATGGCATTTGGGAGCTCCTGAATGCAATTCAGAAATTCAGATCCCGAATTACATTCAGGTCAAGGAGATTCAGATTTGGTATTAATATCTGTATATGGTTTTCTGTGTTATTCACAACGAATATTCGTAAACTCATCCGAAACTAACAAAATTCTGATTTCGTCCGAATCCCGAACCGAATTGAATTTCAAAACCGAATCTCGAAATAACGAAATATGCGAACCGAAACAATTTTTCCACAGCTTACATGTCTAGTGGTATCCGCTGATAGCGTTGATAAATTCAAGAAACTTCTAGATGAGTTTCTTCTTTCACTACATATGCAAGTATATGGCAAGAGCCATATATACACTACAATGCCAAAAGTATTGGGACACCTGCCTTTACACGCACATGAACTTTAATGGCATCCCAGTCTTAGTCCATGGGGTTCAATATTGAGTTGGTCCACCCTTTGCAGCTATAACAACTTCAACTCATCTTGGATGGCGTGCACAAGGTTTAGGAGTGTGTCTAGGGGAATGTTTGACCATTGTTCCAGAATCGCATTTGTGAGGTCAGGTACTGATGTTGGACGAGAAGGCCTGGCTCGCAGTCTCCACTCTAACTCATCCCAAAGGAGTTCTATTGGGTTGAGGTCAAGACTCTGTGTAGGCCAGTCAAGCTCCTCCACCCCAAACTCACTCATCCATGTCTTTATGGACCTTGCTTTGTGCACTGGTGTGCAGTCATGTTAGAACAGGAAGTGGCCATCCTCAAACTGTTTCCACAAAGTTGGGAGCATGAAATTGTCCAAAATGTCTTGGTATGCTGATGCCTTAAGTGCTCCCTTCACTGGAACTAAGGGGCCAAGCTCAACCCCTGAGAAATAACCCCACACCATAATCCCCCTCCACCAAACCATTCAATCATTCCCTCCAACACTTTACCCTTGGCACAATGCAGTCAGGCAAGTACCGCTCTCCTGGCAACCGCCAAACCCAGACATGTCCATCGGATTGCCAGATAGAGAAGCATGATTCGCCACTCCAGAGAACATGTCTCCACTTCTGTAAAATACAGTGGTTGCGTGCTTTACACCACTGCATCCGACGCTTTGCATTGCACTTGGTGATGTAAGGCTTGGATGCAGCTGCTCGGCCATGGAAACCCATTACATGAAGCTCTCTTCGCACTGCTGTTGTCCCAATCTGAAGGCCACATGAAGTTTGGAGGTCTGTAGCTTTTGACTCTGCAGACAGTTGGTGACTTCTGCGCACTGTGTGCTTCAGCATGCGCTGACCCCGCTCTGTCATTTTATGTGGCCTACCACTTTGTGGCTGAGTTGATGTTCTTCCCAGTTGCTTCCACTTTGTTATAACACCACTAACAGTTGACCGTGGAATATTTAGTAGCAAGGAAATTTCACGGATGGACGTATTGCACAGGTGGCAACCTATCACGGCACCATGCTTGAATTCACTGAGCTCCTGAGAGCGACCCATTCTTTCACAAATGTTTGTAGAAGCGTCTGCATGCTTAGGTGCTTGATTTTATACACCTGTGGCCATGGAGGTGATTGGAACACCTGAATCCAATGATTTGGAGGGGTGTCCCAATACTTTTAGCAATATAGTGTATATACAGACACACAAACACATACACATAGGTTGAACTGGATGGACCTTTGTCTTTATTCAACCTTACCTACTATGTTACTATTTTTAATAATTGAGCTCATAGTTTAAATATTTTACAGTGATTAACATAATACTGACTGCGCATTATTATTATTATTATTATACAGGATTTATATAGCGCCAACAGTTTGCGCTGCGCTTGCTCCTAGACCTTATCTACAAAACAACCTTTTAAAAAGGCAAGTTTGTTCTAGCTTCAGGCTGGTACATGCTTACAATTTAATTTCTTTAGAAAGAGAAAATTAAAAAAGAAAGAAAAATGGTTGAAGAACAAGATGGCTGAATAAAACAAATTCATATATACACTTTCACTATACATACAGTTCCGCTTTTTTGCAGCCTGTTCTTTCCTGGGCTCTGGTGGTCTAAAAAACCCTGACATCATCACATCTAATACAGGTTCCATAGACCTGCATTAGACGTGAGGATGCCAAGGAACATTCCACACCCGGACTGGAGAAGGGAGAGCACCGATCGCCGGTGGAGCAAGGACCAGTAAGGAAAGTTTGTCTTACTCCAGCCCCTAGACAAAAATAAGCACTTAACCATTATGGTGCGGAGTTAGCCCCACTGCAAGGGTACTTTTTTTGTTTGGCAGGAAATGAGCTTTAACACTGAGTTTAAAAAACAAAAACTGCAGAGCTGTTTGTTCTGCAAACATCATAGTTTTAAATTCACACCACATTATGGCCACTAGATGAAACTGTAGAGCATAATAATTTGCTATGCTCCTCAGCTCCCTTTAGTGGCCATAATGTGGTTCAAACCTAAAACGAAGTTCAAAAAGCTTTGCAAACATTTTATAAATATGCCCTCTACATTGGACTCTAACTTAATTCATAAAACTTACTTAACTCCTATAATTGAACACCCACCTTATGGGTTGCAACGCCTATCCATGCTAAAAGCGAACACTTCTGTGCCAATTTCTCACTGCACCAAGATTTTAGCCCCAGAAACTTCTGATCTGTTAGTGTATGTCTGCCAGTGTACATTCAAGATACACAGGTAGAAAAAAATATTTTTTACACGGATAGATCTATAGATTCATTAGATCTAATAGAGCTATTGTCAGATACATTTATTCATGTTACCTGCATACAGGCTAGGTAATGTAGAAGTTGAGCACTAGTTGCTATATAGTACCTTTCATAGAGATCACAGCACTACAATTGCCGATGTCATTTTCTTTCCCCAGAAGGCTGGCACCATCTTTGCTCCGGCATAATCAAGGGTTAGCATCTACTTTCTAGACTATAATCCTTCCCATAAATGTCACAGAAATACTAATACCGGTCCCTGAAGATCTTGGTTTTGTTCACACATGTTTTCTCACACAGTACTTTTCTGTGCTCACCTCTAATTACAGTGTTCCAGTCTGAGTAATCTGGGGAACACTGCAAATTGCCTGACTTGCTTTTTAACAACAGACATAGCGCCCAACTGTCCAGGATCCCAAGGGACAGTCCTGGGTTAAGTAAAATCCTGGGACTCGACAGATTGAGGACATGTTCTGTAGCCAAACGCTAGAATTTTTTTTTCAACAACCGGATCAGGATCTGTGCTAGCACTGACAGCAGGGAGTGATCTCCTTGCCTAACAGTTGCTGCATAGTTTCATTAGCAAGAGGAGGCAGAGCTAAAAGGAGGTGTTTTACCACTGCTGAGCAGCAATGATGGGAAGGGGTTGCTTGCTGCCAACTGTTTTTTAAGGGGGATCCCACATAAGATAAAACAAAAACAAAGTGCGGGATTCTCTACAGAATCCATACCGGTTGCTTATCCAGGCATGCAGCCTGCCTGCCCAATAGAGGAGGAGCAGCAACTGTGAACCCCTCTTCCTGGACCATATCTGGTCACATACCCTCAGACATGAGAAGGTTCCTTACCAGGATAATCCTCTGTCAGGCAAGGCACCCTCTTCGTTTATCCATCACTGAAGGACGTTTAGCGCTGTACTATTTAACACATTTCAACTATAGGGGCCTAGTGCCTGAGTCCAGCAGCTTTTCGTAAAATATTTTTATAAAATTTTTAAAGATCATAGAAATTAGTTTCTTGTACGTTTTGTAGTTTTAGGGTCTCTTTTTATTATTGTTTTCCATTAGCGCAAGTTCTTGCAAATAAGGCACCCTCTTCCCAGGTTGATGGGGACAAAGGCTTTTCCCCTACATCTTGTTCCCAACAAGATGAGGGGGTCTTCGCTGGGGGGGGGCACTTATCTGGAAGTCCCCTTTAAGATAAGGGCTCCCCCAGATATCTGGCTTCCCCTTATGTGAATGAGTAAGAGGTACATTGTGCTGCAGGTTACTCATTCACAAAAAAAATACGAAATAAATAAAGACAAACACCCTAGAAACATTCCTTTTTAAAAAATTCCCCAAATAATGTCCCATGATGTAGATTCAACATAGTGTTGCTTCCACTAACTTAATGACTCCCAGGTGCAGCAGCCAGAGGTTTGGGAGACAGGTGAACTGGCCATTTAGTTTGCCCTTTCAGCAAACTGCGAACAGCATGGGTTTGGGTCAATCCATGGATGACCGGAACCTCTTCCATGGTCACATATTCCTAACTGCTGCACTCTTTATTCTGTTATGTATGTTACATAGTTTTGATCCCTGCACTCTATACGCTATGTTGTATATTACATAGTCCTGATCAAGGTGTTTATTGTTGCAACAGTAACTGGTTGCTAGGAGATCGCCTGTTTTAAGAAATCTCTACTATTTCTGTACATTAAGCAATACATTGTGGTTAACATGAAAAGGATGTCAGCATACTTCAAAAATTCTGTCACTGGCCTTTTAGCAAATTCTTAACTAAAAGAAACCACGCTGAGGGGGGGAAGCAGGAAATTCAGTTCAACTGCAGACATGGTTTGACAGGGTTGAGGGTTTTGCGAAATCTCCTCCTCTTTTCTAAGGACTAATAGGCAGCAATAAAGGCTAGGCGGAGAAGAAGATGATCCCTAACCCTCTGAAAACTAGGAAATACAAATTAAAATTATCGATTTTTCATGTACCTTTTTAACAAAGTAAAATAAATACTCACACATACCTTGTTCTTGCAGGAGACGTTTAAGCATGAGATGAGTTTGGAGCCCATGAACCAAACCTGCAAACAAGAAGCAGAAAATGAACCTTGTGGGGCTCGCTTTGGAACAGCTATTGCAGCAGTGACAGATCTCAACCTGGATGGCTACAATGATGTAGCTATAGGGGCTCCTCTAGAAGGAGATCACAGAGGAGCTGTGTATATTTATCATGGAAGTGGAAAAATGATAAAAAGGGACTATGCTCAGGTATTTGTAAAAGCTTTTCCCTATTAAAACTCCTTTGAAATGTAGAGATTCATTGTTATACCATTTTTAAGTGTTTACCTGTAATTCAGTTTGCTTTAATGCCATTTATAAGTTTACAATGCTGTAAGTTTACAATGTTCTTACTTGACTAAGCAAATTTGGTTCCCTACAATTTCACTTACTTTTAAAATAACCAATACAGTTGTACCAATAGCATGACAACCTTTGTGACTCTTAGCAGATGGAATTCTTTAGATTTAGCACAATTTACACTTCAAACAACTTATTTCCTCAGCTGCATTGCACTACCTCAAAGATACTTCACATCCATATTCTTACACAATCTCTTGACACCAAGCCTTGGGACCACCATCAACAATGGACACAATGGGATCTTTTCACTATTAAAGGAGAACTATGGGATTAAGGCTTTTCCCCGTCACCCTAGGCTCAGTATACCGCGAGCTGTATACTAAGATGCCGCAGCTGAAGCAGATCCCGACAATTATGTCTGGATCCGCCCAGCTGCGTGACTGACAGGTGGCTCTGCCTATCTAGTCAGCGCTGGCGGATCGGAGAGGGGGGAATCCAGCCTCTCCCCTGTCACGGCAGAGAGCCGTGACAGGATCGAGAGGGGAGCGAACGCCGTATGTGTTCGCTCACCTCCCGATCTACTGAGCCGACCTGTGACAGTTTAATTGTCACAGGTCGGCTAGAACTATGAGGTGAGTTAAAAGCACTCACCTCATAGTTCTCCTTTAAATGCCCCCTTTTTTCCAAAACAATTCTTAGTCTTCCTGATTTCCTTACTACCAATCCAAACACCCCTTCTCCAATACACACAAACACAGCCATTCAGAATTGATAATCAAGAAGGCGATGGTAGGACAACTTTCCTCCACTGAAACACTTTCAAAATGTCTTGTGGTTAGTCCACAGCTACTCTGGCAGCTCCCCTCATCTTATCACTGTATTAGCCTGTCCATTACTTTTCTCTAGTTCTAGTTTGTTTGTGTGTTTTTTTTTATTATTAAATGCATATGCTTACAAATAGGTATTTCATTAAAGAGAAGGTTTGTTTCAATGGTGGACCAAAAAAGGTTTTCGGCGAATTAGTGTTTTCTTGACACATAAATATAACAAACTAACTAAAACTAGATCTTTACACTCAAAACCGCTTATTTCTCCAATGCCTATTAACCCAGAAAAAAAAACATTCCTTTTTTGGATACCAGTTGGATACAAATCAAAGCTTTATGTAAAAATATGACTAGGACCACATTACCACCATACATAAATTACTACATCTCTCATCCCTAAAGTTGCCTTATATGATTCAGTGGGAAATTGATGTCAGTAAAGTCCTTGGCACTTAACAATGGCAGAATATGGCTACTAACCTCTCAGGAGTTTTTATAAATACATCACTTAGTACCAATAGAATCCACATCCGGTGGACCTGTCATAAAATCCAGAAATTCTGGATTCAGCTCTGTTCCCTAATCTACACACTGGCTGAAAGCACTCTGAACATTATCCTTCTTTGACGCTTTATTGAGTAACAATTTCCCAGGTGTTGCTAAAGGGACCAACAGGCATATCTTTTGTATTTTCTTGGCATCCAGCATAGCAATCACCCGGTGCTGGAAGACGCCCACTGTCCTGCTAGAGCTAGTATAGCATAAACTTAATTGGATCATGATCAATTACAAGATGATGAGGATATTAGATAATATGCAAACTAAATTTGGATTAACATGGAGTCCATGGATTCAATACAACTCAATTACATGAGAGCTGCCACAGAGATCTCTCTTTCCTTCCTTCCTTCCTTTCCCCATCTTTCCTCATTCTGGAGTTCCCACTTATCCCTCCCATTTATCCCTACTATATTTTTTCTGGTTTTGGTTTCTCTTGAGAAGTCTGTTTTCCTGTTGCTAGTCTACCGCAAAACTTTCGGTGTTGAATAGATGGGCTTCGAACCCATCTACAATTTTCTACTTACTAATTGTTCACAATATTATATGAGTGTGATTACTCCATAATCTAGAAATACTCTTTGTTTATACTACTATACTGTACAGTATATAGAGAACAACAATTGTAACAAAGTTTATATATTATATGTTGTTCTGTGTTATATATCTTTCTTTTTTTGCAGTGCACAGTGTCTTTTCCTTAAATTGATATCACTAACAAACGTATACTTATGTACGTTGTTATTTTTCTGCTATCTAAACTACATTATGTTAATCTATGTTTATTGACTCCATACTCTACATACTTGAAATAAAAGAGGGGGCTTGGAAAAATTTTGCAATATGTGACTCACAAATAAAAAAAATTCCAGCCTGGTGGTGAGATGAGGGTAATTATGTTTCGATATAAACAATGTCATTGCCTGGAATCAGCCTTGAAGAATATACAGCTTACTCTCTTGGTCAACCAATTCCACATCTTCCCAAAATCCTTGACTTAAGTTCTTCTTTGAAATGTAAAAATTATAACACCATTTGTTTGTTTCCGTACAGCGTATTCCATCAGGTGGAGATGGGAAAAAAGTAAAATTTTTTGGTCAGTCTATTGACGGTAAAATGGACTTGAATGGTGATGGACTGACGGATGTAACGATTGGAGGTCTTGGAGGAGCCTCTTTGTTTTGGTATGTATTAAGAAACTTAGTTACAAAGGCAATGTAAACCCTGACAATGAACGTCTCCTATTTACTCTGTTGTGGCCTATTTAATATTTCATTGAAAACCGTATACCATTTTGTTCTCCCAGTTGATTGTTCCAGAAATCCAGTAAGCTGACTAGGGATGAGGATCAAATTTGTTGAAAAGTAAAGATTAATTGTATATGTAAAAAAACAAAACAGGCAAATTAGTATATCAGTGATATTAGAACATTTTATTGAAAATACAATCTGAAATGCCATATTTAAAGTAAAAAACACACAAATGGATCTTCCTTTACAACGTGAATGAGTTTAGTGATTTTTATTCTAGGTCTCGAGATGTTGTAGAAGTGAGAGTAGCAAAGGATTTCACGCCAAACACCATCAACATGGAAAAAAAGAATTGTAGGATTAACAACAAAGATACTGTGTGCATCCAGGCATCGTTTTGCTTCAATATAGACCTTAAATCTGGTGTTAGCAAGCAGGAAACATTTGGTATGTCTGTGGTCATTTTAAAAGTAAAACGTAATTTTTAAAAAATAAATGTTAACATTTATTTTATATAGATGTATTTTTAATATATTGTATTATTTTATGTAGAGCTGGAGTACAAAATCACACTTGATTCGCATCGTTTTGTATCCCGAAGTCTTTTCACAAATACCAACGGAAGGGATGTACAAGGTGTAGTCTCTCGAAGTGGCGAATGTGTAAACCTCGAATTCTATATGGTGGCAAGTTATACTTTAACCATAACCATTTTACATAAATAAGATGATAGAGAAACATAATAAGATAACGGAAATTAGTTTTCCACTTTTAAGAAGAAAGGGACCCCATAGTTCACCTCATTCTGGGGACTAGAAATAGTACCAGTTCACACACAGTCAAACCTTTTTTGTTTAGTTGGGAAGGGTTAAAACCCTTGTCAGCCCTGTCAGGCTCTTTATAGTCACCTGTGTCCCAAGGAGGGGAGGGGAGCATTTTTCTTTACTTCCTACTCAAAGACACAGGAAGTGCAAGAAAAAGTTGTGTCATGGCAACAAGTGTCCCCACTGGAATATTCCCCCTCTATTTGGGTTCTGATAACAACTAAAATGTTTCGATTTTTATTGCAATAGTCACTAGGGCATTTAGAAAGATTGAGTCTCCCCGGCAGGGTCACATCCACAAAAACCTGCCAGACGGCTTACCTCTTCCTACTCTAGCCAAAGCTAAACACAGAACACATTTTACAAGGCTCACTAGTCAGCTGTTACCTTATCTGGTGCAATGCAGTTCTAGTTCTGAATCCAACCAAAAGGCATGGGGGCAGTGTTTTTCTTGCCTGGCAAAAATGACTTGCCAGGGTTCTAAGCAAAGGTGCCTACCAGTCCCCAAAGGATGATAAATGCTGGGCTGAAAGGAGAACTATGGGGTTAACCCCTTCATGACTGAGCTTGTTTTTAGTTTCTGTTCGTAAATGACTGACACACTTTTGACATTTTTGCTGTGTGATTCTTCCACGTCAGTAATATACTTTCTTACAAAGTGCACCAGTATACTGAAACGCCGCAGCTGAAGCGGATCCCGACCCGCCCAGCTGCGTGACTGACAGCTGGCTCTGCCTATCTAGAGGCAGATCCAGCTGTACCCGCCCCATCCCCCGTCTGTTCCGCCAGTCAGCGCTGGCGGATCGGAGCGGGGAGGGGGGAATCCAGCCCCTCCCCTGTCACAGCAGAGAGCCGTGACAGGATCAAGAGGTGTTCTCCTTTATGAATGTAGGTCAGAAAGAGGCCAGCTGCATGTTAAATGCTCCTGTTAATAAACTGTGAATGATTTCAGAAGCAACTCAAAACTAACTCAAATGCAAGGAGAATCCACCTAAACGCAGACTGCATTTGCCCATTGACACAAGCTCAAAGATTATTGACACAGACCCTATGAATCATTTATGTCCTGTACTTGCATAGCATCAACATATGACATCACACTTTACAGGGTAAAGAGAACCATGCACACCACTGGCTACCCACACAGATGCTTACAGACTAATACATTCATGCAGATACTTATTATTGGGTCAAGTATGTCAGAGGCCATATACTCTATGTGTTTGTATTGTGGGAGTTGAATTAATTATGCAGAGGATACCCATACAAGCACAGGAGAAACCTAACAAATGAATTGAAAAATATCATTACATACTGAACAAAGGACCTCAGTACTAATAATAAATTAGTCACTGTGGATGTCTTCAACTAACACCAAGAATTTTGCTTGCACTTGTTAACTAGGTTGGAAAGTAGGAATTAAAAGATACTTAAAAAAAGCAAATACATATATATCTCCAAGGCTTATATCTGAAAGCCTTCATGTGCGAACTATTATAAAATGTACACAGTACAGACTCCCCATAGGGAATAATCTGGGGCCTTCTGAGAGGTGACACGGACTCTGGTGACACATAGGAATAGGAGGATGAATGGGCCCTTATAGTTTTACTTTAAAAACACGATGCGAACCGGGCACATTGCAAAATGCAAGTGTGAATAGGCTCATATTGTTCTGTAGCCTGTCCATTTGACTGCACAGTTTCTTCTTTTGTTTCACATATGTATTCTCTCCATCCTATTATAGGAAAGGCCAGATTTTTTGAATTCTGTGAATATTTCTGTTGAGTTCAATTTTAAAGATCCAGAAGAAGGCCCAGTTCTCAGCAATGAACATCCAAGAATCGTAAATGCTTATGTAAGTACCGGCTTTACACAGAACTTCAATCACATGTGGAAAATCTTCTGTTTATTTATTAGCTAGTGGAGGCATAGCCTAGCAGCACAGGGCCCATGAGATTTACCCCCAGCCTTTCTTCTGTTCTCCAGACTGTCCCGCACTACAAAACACTAAGGTGTATTTATAAAAAAAATTGCAGATCCATGCGTCTTATGTTCCTCAGCTCCATCTGCTGGCCATAATGTGGCATTAACTTGATATTACATTTAACCTGAAAAGAAAATATACTAAAAATGTTTACTTTTGCCTCCATTCGCACAAAACGAACATACATGTAGTTTCACGGGTCGATTGGGTCTGCAATTTTTGATTTTTTTGAATTTAGGATGGAAGTGTGACAAGTAAACACCCCCTGGTTTATTCAGGTTCTACTATAGTTCATACTGGTTCACTTGCGGACTTTTTGGTTGCTCTTGGCCAACTGCATTATAACCTGTCTGGTAAAAGCTATGGTAAGAAAGAATAATTCTGGGTGTGAAAGATCTGCTAATGAATGCCATAAAATGTTAAATATATTGTATATGCTGTTTCCCCATGAGGCTGTTTTATGGATATTGATACCAAATATGTAGCAGTTTAAGCTGACTGCAAGTGACCCAGTGTAGTAAAAAAATGTTTAGGGGATTCAGCACCAGTCACATAATTTACCTCAACTGAGGTGCATCCTTTGTCATCCTGGCTGTTGGTTACTTTTTAAGATCCTCCCTTCAGTAAAGCCAGTTTCTGCTCAAAGTGGTTATCCTCTAGCACTGCAGGGATGAGAGGAAGCTGCTCGGACAGTGAAGAATCCTGTCATTCACCCTCCCTTTCTTCATACACAAACCTCCTTGTGTTATTTCTACAGAATACAAAGCATTCTGTGAACGGACAAGGGGAGACGAGGGGAAGGACAGGATCTTCCCTCTTCCATTCACAAAATGCCATGTATTCATCAAATTATGTGATTGGTGCTGTATCTCCTATACTTCAGCTTTAAATTGTATGTTCAGGCATTAGCCAAATTTACCCCCAAACCTCACTCTTCCTTGAAATAGCATGTATTACTGCCTGTGATATTATCACCAGACTTTTTCTCCCATTTGCCCATACACTTTAACGCTGACCCGCTCTAATGTATTCTTAACCCCTTGTTTCCATATTTTGGGACCCACCTCACTAAAGATTAACCCTTCCTGCCCTGAAAAATACATAAACCGGGATCCTAGTACTAGAACTAAAGAACTGCAGTTGGGAGATTTTCCTAAAATATTATACCCTCTCCTCCCAGGATAACATATAATTTTGGGTGAATTTTGTTTTTGCTTATTTCTTTTAATGGTAATGACATTTCTTACATTTTAGAGATGATTAAATGCTTGTTTGCTCATTTTACAGATCCCATTTACAATGGACTGTGGTACTCATAAAATATGCATCGGTGACCTTGTTCTAGATGCTCAATTAAGTGTGGATGAGCAAAGGTAAAATTCTCTTAGACAGAATAATCAGTGAGGGAACAATAGTTGGATGAATGGATTTGAGTCTATTTTTATTTATGTTATGATTTAAATTCATATGTTTTGGACTTATATTATTGTGTGTAGCTTTTTTTAATAAGTAAAGCATAGCACTCATTGTTTCCTTTTAGACAATGGTGTCTCTCATTGAAACCAAGGCCAAAGCCAATATTAAGGGAGGCATAGAGAGGAGAGGTGATCACTGTTCATTGTTTTGACCTGTTCATTGCTAAAAGAAACAGCCGAGCTTCAAGAGAGAGAATGACTAACCCATACCCTCTATACATTGCTGTAATGTCTTATTAACTGAATGTAATAGATGGATAGAAAAGTACAAAATGTAATTAAAAATTGAATTTAAAATTAAACGTAACAAAAATATTTCAGACATGAGTACAAATGCTAACAAAATGGAATTTTAACTTTAGAAACAGCAAACTAGAAAAATGTGTGCTTTATGTAATGATATTTTTTTATATATATAATTCACAGCATTGATGAGATGATTGTACAGCATGGCAAGGACAGATTTAATGTCACTATCACTCTGAGGAACGGTGGTGACAGCGCTTATAATTCGAGGGTAGTAATGAAATATACTCCCAACATTATACGGGCTAAAACAGAGGTGAGTACAGCTAAACCATTTACAAACCATAAATAAACATCACCAGTGGCACAAAAAACATTGTAGAGTTAAAAATGTATTCCTCTAAAGATCAGCAAATTGTGGATGTCAATATGAAATAGTCAGCCAACACGCTAAAGCTGAAAAGGGGATAGTTTCTGCAACAAGCCAATGATCCTAAACATACTATATGTCACTAGGTAATTTAGCCAGGCTTGCCCAAAGGAGAGAGAGAGCAAGAGACCAAGAGAGAGTGAGAGAGTGAGAGAGTGTTAAGTTACGTGACATTCATACTGATATGTCAGTTATACGCCAGTTATATGATTTAAGAATTACATTACTAGACAGCTTTACTGGGTGGAAGTAATTTATCACGATGAATAAGAAATGTTTCCTGTTTTTACTCCACAGGATAAGCCAGGAGTAAGTTGTGATGAATCTGGTGAGGACTTTGTATGTAAGGTCGGATACCCCTTTTTAAGGAAGAATGAGAAGGTATTGAGTTCTATGAACTAACATGTAACAATGTTCATAAGTGTGATGGACGTGACATTTGATGATCTGCAATTCATGAATATTGAGCGTGCCTTAGGGGAACAACTGAACAATGAGTATCAGATGCAACCCCCCCCCCCCCCAAGTCTCCTAGGGTCAACATTAATGTGTACTTGTGCCCAGATTGTGTCAATAAATTATTTTGTATATTTTGAACAAGCAGTAAAAGAGCTTTAAAACAAGTTCCCGCTGACTAACTTTTCTAGTTGTATGTACTATAAAGTAATTTATTCTCATAGATAATAACAAACACTCTAAAATCAGTTTTACTTGGTTTCTAACAGCATACAGCACCTAATGATTGTTTACATGGGAAGGCTGGCAGGCTGCCAAGATTCCGTTCTCTGTAGGAAGTAAAGGAGAAAGAAGTTAAGATTTTAGAGCCTCTTTTGTGAATTTTGAAAATTATTTTCTCCACAATGCCCGCAACTTCATAGGTGAATGACAGCCTGTTTTAAAGTGATTTTAATGCATCTTCAAATATGTAAATATTTTTTCATGCATATTTTTGCTACAGGTTAACTTTAGCTACTTTCTATAATAATATGTATATTATTATTATTACTATTATTACTATTATTATTATTATTGCTACTGTTATGTATTTGTTTGCTTGTTGTTTTAGATCACTTTCACAGTAACATTCCAATTCAATGTATCACACCTCCTGGATAAAGCGTCCATATTTATTAATGCAACAAGGTAAAACATCATCCTGATTGATTGATTTAGTTTGATTGAGTGAATGATTGATAGGTTGCTTGAGTGAATGATTGATAGGTTGCTTGATTCTCAATTTGACAGTCCAACTAAACTTTCACTTTAAACCAGGCTCATTGTGAACAAATAAGCCTGTCTTCTGCCAGTATGCTGCAGATAAGAACTTTTGCTCTCTTTGTGGAAGCAGTGGGCTCGCTGCAGAGGTTTGACATACTCCCAGCCAGAGCTCTCTAATCAGCAGGGAGCATGAGCTTTGCTGATTGCAGATTTGTAGGTCTGATTCAGTTTCTCTACTCAGGATGTAGCTGCTTTCTAGAGAAAGAATGCATGGCAACTGGTATGCGCTGGGAAGGAACAGTTTCTTTAAGTTCTAGCCACTTCAGTCCTGTACAATGTGGGTACACAGTACTTTGTTCAGTGCACACCACTACAACGCAGTAATATTAACTGTGCTAATTGCCTTGTATTTGCGCACCCGGTGTGAACAGGCCCTGAGACTACGCAAACATTTTGCTTTGATGCAGCTAGAATGTATTTAGCTGATGTAAATCGAAAGTTCAAATGGGCTTTTGCAGCAAAGACCAGTCATCAGTCGATAGCTGCAGGTAGCCACTAAATGTGCAGATACATGATGACAACTGTGGCTCTTGTCAGCCTCTCATTGCTTTGTACAGGCTTCCTGACCACTATATACCAGTTATTACAGCATGTAAGAATCTGCTGATTCCTGCCACAGGAATTCACTGTCTGGACTATTTAGATGTGTGAAACAGGCCTAAGTGGTGAGATAGTGAGATTTCCTAGCATTCCCCCATCCCCCCAAAAAAGAAAAAGAAAAAATGAGACCCCCAAAAAAAGGAAAAATAATTGTTTAAAAGTAATATGTTGATGTTTTCATTTTCTAGTGACAGTGATGAGTTGCTCAAAACCTTACATGACAACAGAAAGGACCTTACCTTTTCAGTTAGATACCAATCCGGACTCACCTTCACTGGGTATGTACAGCGTATATCTCTGTCCATAACGTCTGTCTGTGTCCATTGTACAAGCTGTTATTTGTAAATGTATAATAATACTTATGTATATTGTACTGTGTATGTGTATTAACTGGTCACTCTCTTCATTTACAAAGATCTGCAAAAGAATTCCACATTATTATTGCTGCCAATGACTCCATACCTGCTCAGATTAATTCCACTGATTTCATCGGGCCGGACGTCAATCTGAATGATATGGTAAGAATTGATATAAATAAAACATACACACACACAGTATCTCACAGAAGTGAGTAAACCCCTCACATTTTTGTAAATATTTTATTATATAATTTCATGGGACGACATAGAAGAAATTAATCTTTGCTACAATTTAAAGTCGTGAATGTACGGCTTGTATATCAGTGTACATGTGTTGTCCCCTCAAAATAACTCAACACACAGCCATTAATGTCTAAACCGCTGGCAACAAAAGTGAGTACAACCCTAAGGGAAAATGTCCAAATTGGGCCCAACGTGTCAATATTTTGTGTGGCCACCATTAATTTCCAGCACTGCCTTAACCCTCTTGGGCATGGAGTTCACCAGAGATTCACAGGTTGCCACTGGAGTCCTCTTTCACTCCTCCAAGACAACAACATGGAGTCAGTGGATGTTAGAGACCTTGCGCTCCCCCACCTTCCGTTTGAGGATGCCCCACAGATGCTCAATAGGGTTTAGGTCTGGAGACATGCTTGGCCAGTCCATCTCCTTTACCCTCAGCTTCTTTAGCAAGGCAGTGGTCGTCTTGGAGGTGTGCTTGGGGTCGTTATCATGTTGGAATAATGCCCTGCGGCCCAGTCTCCGAAGGGAGGGATCATGCTCTGCTTCAGTATGTCACAGTACATGTTGGCATTCATGGTTCCCTCAAACTCATCATTCATGCCTGAGACCTTGTAACACTAACGAGTAACTTGACACCGGGGAGGGAAAATGGCTAATTGGGCCCAATT